AATGCTGGCCCACAGATGGCTCCAACTTCATCCTGTTCCCTACTTGTATGTCTTATAACAATAAAAATGCTTTCAAATGAGCTGATGTAGGTAACAGCTCTTAGCTTGCCAATAAAGTTAGGAATCCTTAACCTGTAAATAGCTTGTCAATAAAGCTAGGGATCCTTAACCTTGTCAAACCCTGTGTAAAAAGAGAGAGAGAGAGCCACATTCAGTCAGCCAATCACCCACCCGGCCAGCCAGCCAGCTACGTATTACACATGTTCCAGAGTTGTTTCTCTTTACTTAGGGTATAGGTTATACTACATTCTGGCAGGATGACACTACCAGTGGTATTCTCCCATTCCACTGTGTCGACAATAACAGTAACATATGATACTGTATGCGATGTAAAATTTACAATACAGTTCACTACCATGTATATATTATATACAGTAAATAAATAATTAAAATATAACAATAAAGTAAATTATGGTAAAAAAATGAAATAATGATTGTACATTACATTACAGTACTATGTAGGTAGTTTATATAGGAAAAGTTTGACATTATGCCCTACCCAGTATGCCGGCAATTTTCAAAGGTTCGACTTACGTCCATTTTGACTTACGACCGGTTGGTCGGAACCAAGCTTGGTCGTAAGTCGGATGGTAGGTGTAATAATAATAATAATATCTTTATTTACTACACGTACATGTACAAGGTATACAGGCCTAGCTGACATCAGTGACATACTGCTATATAGAAAGCTGCTTGTTATGCCGAGTATTTCAAGAAAATTAGGTCAGTGTCCCAGGATAACACCCACACTAGTTGACTAACACCCAGGTACCCATTTACTGATGGGTAAACATAGACAACAGGTGTAAAGAAACACGCCTAATGTTTCTACCCTGGCTGGGAATCGAATATTTACCAAAAATCATATATGGCTAACCCAAGCCAGGTACTAAAAATAAGCCACGCTGACTTTTTTTGGGTTATCCTAGGTTTTCTACACATATGCTGCTATGTGTGATAATCTATAGAGAGAAAATAACTTTTTTGTTTCATGTTTATGGTGCAGTATGGGTGTATATCACAGTTAGCCCTGTGCTATATTCCGTTTTTTCTAATATAAGCCCCAAAACAGGGATAGGAGAATGGTATTTGTTTACCATATCCTCTTCATAACTCTGTCGAACTGCTCGGTGTTATGCCAAATATTATTCATTCTGTAGTATTTAACATGTTTTATGTTATTTATATTGTTTCTTATGTCATATTAGATCAATTGTGATAGGCAAATAAGCTGTAGTGTTGATATTAGTGTAATATTAAAGCATATTCTCCTGCTTCATGAGAGTGAGTTCATGGCAACCGACAGTGGCTTCAAAGCCACCTTATCTTTAATGGATAATGTACTGTGTAGGTGCTTTACATAATGAGAAGCATTTCTTTTATTCATTGGAACCATGGCTAGGGCTAAAAGAAAGCAGGTTAAAACAGTAAGTGGAGAAAAATAAATTGGAATGACTTATGCAGCAAGTAGCGCCACCAAACAGTACCAGCAGGTTGGTGTGGCGACCCTGGAAATTTGAAATTATGCTAGCCAAACTCAGTGCCGAATAACTGAAGGAACCGAATAACTGATTGCCGGATTTGTGATGGCGGACCTGTACTACATAAGAACATAACAGGAGGAACACTGAAACAGGCCTTCCTAAATCCAACCCGCTAACAAAAATATTGTCCAACCCATTTTAATTAATGCTACCCAAGCAAGTCAACTATTACTACCACACATATTACTACTACTACTTCCACTAGCATTACAACTACTACTACTACTACTACAATTATATTGTGCCATACACCTCACCCTAAGCCTATATATACCCTCTGTGTCCATGTATTGTTTGTAGAGGCTTGACAAAGTTCCTGAAGAGCGAAATGTTGCCACAATAAACTGTCACATTAGTTGCACTTGTGTTCTTTTACCTAACAAATATGACATTCTTGATAGAACCACTGGATCAAGGAGTTATTAAAACATTTAAGTGCTACTACACATGCAGTGTGGTTCAGATACTAGACACAGCAATTGATGACACAGACAGTAGAGTGTCAGAGTTTTGACACAAATTTAACATTGTCAGTACTCTCCTAATGTCAAAAAAGCATGGGATCATGTACCAAAATTAACAATAAATGATGGTTGGAGAAAACTATGGCCTAGTGTGATGAGGTTCAGGAAATTTTTGATCTGTTAAGGAGAGTGCCAGACAAGAGATTTGAAAATCTGCAGCCAGATAACATCAATGAACTCTTATTAGATGTTGATGAGGAGACAACTGCAGAGGAAATGTTGCAAGAATTAAATTCCTAGCTGGAGAGAACAGATGATGAGGATGAAGAGCGTGAGACTGAATGACCAAGTTGACACTGCAAGAGCGCTGTGAGTCACTGCATACTGTTGGTAAAGTCGCGGACGTGTTTATTTCAAAAGACCATGACTCATCTAGAAGCCCTAAACTAAAGCATGCTCTGGAACAGGCACCTGGGTCATATTGTCTAATGTATAAAGAACCGCAGGGTAAAATATACCAGTGAATATGACAGAGTACCTGAGAACTCCACTGCAACAATCAACTGATGAAGCTGCAATAACATCAAACGATCCCCAACCTTCAACATCATATCACCAACCCCCAACCATCATCAGCCCAGTAGGTCAACAACCACCCTCTCCATTCACTTCAGGATGTTAAGCATCCCCAACCAAACCTGAAGATAAGTAACAAATACTGTACAGTATTAATGGAACCATTTTTTTCTTTTAAGTTACATGTACTCTTCCTCTTACCTGTCTGAACATTACTAGAGTCTGGGTATTCCACAGTGCATCCTCGACAAAATTAGAGAAAAAACATTATGATAGAAAAAAAAAAAAACTGTCTGAGTTTTTAGGAGATCTGAGGAGCACAACCCTATTTCTGCTATAAATTTTTCGCTCCATAAGTCAGGGAAATCACTGGCAGCACAGTTTCCAGGAATGTAACCCATGCAAATTATAAATGTCCACTGTTCTACTATATTAGGATAAAGTTCTAACAAAATACTTGTATTGATAAAAAAAAAAGTGACACCATGATAATTAGAAATAGTAATACTGAGCTGGTAGTTCTCAAAGAACTAAACAAAATAACATACTACATAATTCAGTGAGACTGGAGGCAGTGATGTCATGTTTTAAAAGCAATGATTGGCATGAACATTCTCCAGAGAATATGTAGGTGAATGATATGTGAGAACTGACAAGATGGAGAAAAATGAAACATTTTAATGCAGAATGGAGAGACAGCATATGGCAACACTTCACCTGATTTATAAGTTTTTCCAAGCTATTGACCTATTTACAAGTCCAGCAAAATGTTGTCATATATGAAGTATCCTTGCTAAACCAATGTGTCTCATTTTACTCAAGACAATTTAGAGCATAGGAACTTGAAGATAGTATAGGATAAGAAAGGTATAATCTGAGAGTGATAAAGTGTTAGTGGTTTGGTCTTTTGGAAAGGATGAAGCAAAATAGGATGACCAGGAGGATGTATAAATCTGGGGTGAAAGGAAAGGTAGGTGCCATCTCAGGAAGGGCTGGAGAGCATGAAGAAAGTTTTAAGCAATAAGGGTTTGAACATTCAGCAAGCATGTTTGAGTGTACAGTAGATGACGAGTGAGTAGAGACAAGTAGTTTGTAGGATTTGACATTCTGTTAGTGCTACCAGGGTTGCATTTATGATTAGCTGGACTTGAGTCCTAAAGATGGGGTGGGGTTGTTACAGTGGAGGGTCTTATGAACTGCAAAGTTCATGAATGTCTGGCAAGAAAGCTGCTGAATGAATTATTGTGAATGATTGGTGGAGATGGTTAAAAACCAATCTAAAGATGCAAAATATTTTATTTGACATCAGCTGTTTCTCACCAAGGTAGAGTCACTAGGGTGACCCAATAGAAGAAATATTCATAGTCACTCATTCAATCGCTGCCTTGTATGGACACCACATTCAGATAACACTATACATATATGTTTTTTTTTTTTTTTTTTTTTTTTTATCACACTGGCCGATTCCCACCAAGGCAGGGTGGCCCGAAAAAGAAAAACTTTCACCATCATTCACTCCATCACTGTCTTGCCAGAAGGGTGCTTTACACTACAGTTTTTAAACTGCAACATTAACACCCCTCCTTCAGAGTGCAGGCACTGTACTTCCCATCTCCAGGACTCAAGTCCGGCCTGCCGGTTTCCCTGAATCCCTTCATAAATGTTACTTTGCTCACACTCCAACAGCACGTCAAGTATTAAAAACCATTTGTCTCCATTCACTCCTATCAAACACGCTCACGCATGCCTGCTGGAAGTCCAAGCCCCTCGCACACAAAACCTCCTTTACCCCCTCCCTCCAACCCTTCCTAGGCCGACCCCTACCCCGCCTTCCTTCCACTACAGACTGATACACTCTTGAAGTTATTCTGTTTCGCAATACATCACATATATGTATGAATATTAAATACAAAGCAATCCAACTGAGATATCTTTCAATCTTATTATAGCCTACTAACAGGAGTATAACTGCTACTAAGGCAATACATCACATCACTAGCATATCAATGGCATATGTTTCAAACCTGATATAAAATGCATTGACCTCCAGAAGTGACTTCATATAAATTCCAAGTAACAACCAAAAACTAACCCACCCCACCCCATGAAGGTCTACCTTTGAAGGAATGAAATGTTTAACCAGACTGTCCATGATAATTAAACTAATATTTAGCTTGGTTATTGCAAATAAAAAATAAGACCTTTAGTGATCATGAATCTATAGTTGTATTTGATATCCAAAGAGTTTGAAGTGCTTATCATGTACAGTATAAATCTCCTTACATGACACTGAAATATTTATCTAGCTACATCACTATTAAGCAGAGCAAAACAATACTTTGTATTACAAACTTACTCTTTGTAATTCCATAGCTACAGGTTGCCTGGGTGCTGTACTTTTATAAATTTGGGACAAGGTCTCTCTCCAAAACTGGAGTCGCATTTTAGCCATCAATGTTTCAGATGTCACGTCAGATACCTAGAATTACAATATCTTATTATTTTAGGATTACATTATTTTCAACAGTATGAATACTTGTCAAAATATATCACATAGGACTCAGTTCTGTCATTAAATACACTAATTAAAAAAAAAACAGTAATTGAAGGTTCATAATTGAGCAGCATTCAAATTATGAACTTTCCCAGATCGAGATCTTAATTTATGCAAGTCTGATTTTTTTATACACATCAGCTGTTGGAAGATTGGTAGGTTGGTAGACAGCAACCGCCCAGGGAGGTACTACCATCCTGCCAAGTGAGTGTAAAATGGACGCCTGTAATTGTTTTACATGATGGTAGGATCACTGGTGTCTTTTTTCTGCTGCTTAACCCTTTGAGGGTCCATACCGTAGTTCTATGGCTTTGAAGCCTGGGTCCAAGCTGTAGTTCTATGCTATGAGCACAGCCCATTCAGATAAGCTGTTAGTGGTAAATTTGGGCCTAGATATGACAGAATACATCTATGTGGTAAGTGTGCATCATATAAAACAAATCCTGCAGCAAGCAGTGCATGAGAAAAAAACGGCAACTGTATTTTTGGATTAAAACAGTGACTGTGGTGTTTTTTCAAATTTTTTTTATGGTTGTATTCATGGTTTCTTGGTCTCATTTGATTGAATGGAAGATATATTACAGAAACAGAAATGCTTTTGATTGGTTTTAGTATTGAAAATGGCTAAAAAAAACTGAGTTCAAAGTAGTGGAAATGTTCGATTTTTGCCGATATTCACAAGTAAACAGATGACATCACGCATCCAATACATGTCAGCTGGTGGGCCTAACACACGTTCACAAATGCGCTGATATCACATATACAATTATTACAATATTGCATAACTATTTTTTGGTGTGAATAAAAATTCATTATGTGAATAAAAAAATCAAAATGGAATTTATCTGTAAAGCCTGGAAATATAACTAATAAACAGAGGAAATGTTATTTTGGTGTCAGGAAAGTCTGCATTGTTTATTCTGGACCCTACTTTGAAATTGGAATATTTTGAACTTTGTGTGAAATTGGCCAAATTACCAATTTCTGATTCAGTTTACTGGGTAGCTGAAATAGTTGACTGGGCGATTTCTTGTGCTCAATCGATAAAATAGAAGTAATACTAGCAAAATAGTTAAGAATTTGGTTGACTGGAATAATGTAACTGGCCTAAAATGGGAGTCAAAGTGGGGAAAATTGCTGATGAGTAAATATTGTTGATGCGCCAAATTCACAAGAGTATAATTTCATAAACTTTCCACCAAATTTTGTACTTTTTTGTTTTATTACCTTCAGAAAAAGATTCTCTATCATTTCATGAGAAAAAATAACCAAATTTTTTTTTTAAATTCTTGGACCCTGTGGACAAGTTTCAGATCAGGGGTCTGGGCCCTGAAAGTTAACCCTTTCAGGGTTTCGGACGTACTAGTACGGCTTACGCACCAGGGTTTTTGATGTATACTAGCACGCCTAAATTCTAGCGCCCTCAAATCTACTGAGAGAAAGCTGGTAGGCCTACATATGAAAGAATGGGTCTCTGCAGTCAGTGTGCACAATATAAAAAAAATCCTGCAGCACACAGTGCATAATGAGAAAAAAAAAAAACTTTGTGTTTTTGGATTAAAACAGCGACTTTGCACTGTATTTTTGTATGGTATTATTGTTGTATTCTAGTTTTCCTGGTCTCATTTTATAGAATGGAAGACATATTAGAGAAATTGAGATGATTTTGACTGGTTTTACAATGAAAAGTACTTTGAAATTGAGCTCAAAGTAGCAGATATGTTCGATTTTTACCAAAGTTCAAAAGTAAACAAATCATGCTAAGCGTCCAATACACGTCAACTGGTGAGTTTAATATTCTTTCACAAGTGCGCTGGTATTATTTATACCATTTCTACACTAATGCAGTAGTCTGCATAACAGTAAATCTTCTATTTTTTGTGAGACTAAAAATTCAAAGTGGGAAGCAAAAGAATGTAAGAGGGGCCTGGGGACGTGACTAATGAACAGAGGAAATGTTATTTTAGTGCCAGGAATGTCTTTCTTGTTTATTCTGGACCCTATTTGGAAATTGAAATTTTTTGAAGTTTGTGTGAAATTGGCAAAATTGCTAAATTCTGACCACTGTACTGGATACTTGAAATCGGTAAATGGGTGGTTTCTTGTACTCATTCGATAGAAAAAAATGGAGTTCTAGCGAAATAGTTATGATTTTTGTTGACTAGTACACTGGAATTGGCCGAAAATAGGGCTCAAAGTGGGAAAAATCGCCGATGCGTAAACATCGTCAAGACCGCTAACTTCACGAGAGCATAATTCCTTAAGTTTTCCATCAAATTTCATACTTTTGGTGTCATTATGATTGGGAAAAGATTCTCTATCTTTTCATAAGATTTTTTTTTTTTTTTTTTTGAAATTTGGGCAACCCTTAGAAGAAGTCTAGGAGAGGGCCTGGGGACCCTGAAAGGGTTAAATGAGGTTTGGTAATAAGTACAGTTATCCCTCGTTTATCGTCCTTAATCCATTCCTGGAAGTGGGACTATTATCGAAATAGACGATTTTCGAATCAATTTTCCCCATAAGAAATAATGTAAATACAATTAATCTGTTCCTGACACCCAGAAGTATTAAAACAAAAAATTTTTTTACATGAAATATAGATGTAGTACATAAACAATAAAATGGGACACGATGAATAAAACATTAACAGCGTAACACTTACCTTTATTGGCAATTATTCTTAGTGTATGGAAGACTTGAGGAGGAGAGAGATTGAATTACTGTTTGGAAGGGAAATCCCCTTCCATCAATACCTCAGGTACCAAGTGCTTTTCTGGGGTGACTTCTCTTCTCTGTTTCTTAATGCCACTAGGACCAGCTTGAGTCACTGGAGTCCTGTGTTGCAAAAAAAAACTGTCCAGAGAGCTCTGTTTCTGGCGTCTCTTTAAAACTTCCCTAAAATGGGCCAAGACTCTGTCACTGTACAAGTTGCTGATATGGCTTGCAACATCCTTCTCAGGGTGATGTTTCTCCATAAATCTTTCCATCCTACCCCACATTTCAAAAATCTCCTTAATTTCTGAAGAAGGCACCTTCTTCCATCTCTCTTCCTCCTCCTCTGCAGCAAGATTCTCAGCTGCGATCTGTTGCTCTTCCTGCTGAAGCTCTTGCAGTTCCTCAGTGGTTAGCTCTTCGTTGTGGTCCTCCACCAACTCTTCCACATCCTCCAAACTCACATCCAACCCCATGGAACTCCCCAATGCCACAAGAGAGTTCACAACTGACATAGGCTCATCAGGGGCCACCTCAAACCCTTCAAAATCCCTCTTGTGGACACAATCTGGCCACAATTTTCTCCAAGCAGAGTTCAAAGTCCTGGTAGTCACTCCCTCCCAAGCCTTACCTATAAGGCTTATGAAATGGAGAATACTGAAGTGTTCTTTCCAAAAATCTCTTAGGGTCAAGTGAGTGTTTGAGGTCACATTAAAGCACCTTTCAAACATTGCTTTGGTGTATTGTTTTTTAAAGTCTGAAATGACCTGCTGGTCCATGGGCTGGAGGAGAGGAGTGGTATTCGGGGGCAAGAACTTTACTGTGATGAACCCAAACTCCTTTAGAATTAGGTCATCCAAACACTTCATTGAACCACTCGACGAAAATTTCCCTCATGACCCATGCCTTATTATTAGATCTCCAAAACACACACAATTTACTCTTCATAACATTGTTTTTCTTGAACACTCTGGGATTTTCAGAATGGTACACTAGTAACGGCTTCACTTTGAAATCCCCACTAGCATTAGCACAGAACATGAGCCTCAGCCTGTCTTTCATAGGCTTGTGTCCCGGCAATGCCTTTTCCTCCTGAGTAATGTAGGTCCTCTTTGGCATTTTCTTCCAAAAGAGGCCTGTTTCGTCACAATTGAACACTTGTTCAGGTTTCAGTCCTTCAGCCTCTTATGAATTCCTGCACATATTTTTCAGCCGCTTTTTGGTCCAAACTGGCAGCCTCACCATGCCTTATCACACTGTGTATGCCAGTATGCTTCTTAAATCTCTCAAACCAGCCTTTGCTGGCTTTAAATTCACTCACATCACCACTAGTTGCAGGTAATTTCTTTACCAAATCATCATGCAACTGCTTAGCCTTTTCACAAATAATCGACGTCATAAGACTATCTCCTGCTAATTGTTTCTCGTTTATCCACACCAATAATAACTTCTCAACATCTTCGAGTACTGGTGATCTCATTTTTGTCAGCATATTTACCCCCTTTGTAGCAACAGCTTCCTTGATTTCCTTTTTCTTGGCCACGATGGAAGATATGGTTTTACGGGATTTGTTATACATCCTGGCCAGTTCGCCCACACGTACGCCACTTTCATATTGTTCAATGATGTTTCTCTTAAATTCAATCTTATTTCTCACCTTCTTTACCAAAGGCTTGGCACTAGGAGCTTTCTTTGGAGCCATGGTAGCTTATTTAGCACTTGCAAGCACTAAAATGAATGGAATACAGTATTATGAAATATTTCGTATGAACACATGAGGGGACCGTCGCTCACTGGTAAACAATGGCACACTGACTGGGAAGGGAGGCTGAGGCAGCTCAGAGCCGTGAGTACGCATCCAGGACGAAAGACGATTAGCGAGTCAACGGACCATATGTGAGCCAATGTTTGGATGAAATAATGCGACGATTTCTGAAAAGGACAAGTATCGAGCCGGACTATTATCGAGGGACCACTGTAATACATATTTTATGAAAAAGAGGATAAATAAGTATACATGATACAGCATGTAATGAAAGTAGTTTGTTAGATTATGTATTGGTGGACAAAAGGTTGATGGGTAGGGTTTAGGATGTACAGTGGTACCCCGAGTTTTGGCCATAATTCGTTCCAGAAGGCTGTTCGAGTGCTAGTACCAAACGAATTTGTTCTCATAAGGAATAATGTCGATTAGATTAGTCTGTTTCAGACCTCCAAAAATACACTTTCAAAAGCACTTACAATAATACACTTACACAACTGTTCAAGTTGGGAGCTGTATGAAACTCGAGGTACCACTGTACATGCCTATAGAGGGGCAATGGATATATTAGATCATTATCTAGTTGTAGCTACAGTTAGAGTAAAAGGTAGATATGACAAAAGGAAAATGGCGACAGTAAGAGAGAGGTGAAAGTTTATAAACTAATGGAGAAGGAAGATAGGGTAAGATACAGTGGAACCTGGAGTTTCAGCCACCCCAAGTTTCGGCCATTTTGAATTTGGATCACTTTTTTCGGCTAAATTTTGCCTGGAGTTTCGGACAGTACCTTGAGTTTCAGCCGCCGTACCAAACCTGTCTGCCTGCCCGCACCCACACAAAGCATCCCACTCATGCGTTATGGGTCAGTCTGACTTTGTTTCTCCTCAAGTGAACATTACCCTGCACTTTCATCTAAACATTTCACAATAATCCATTTTTTTTGTGTGTGCTTGTTGACTGAGTGCAACTGCTACATAATTAACCATGGGCCCACAGAAACTTTCTAGTGCCAGCCCTTTGGTAAAGAAAATGACAAACACGATAGAATTGAAGAAAGAAATTGTAGCAAAGTACGAAAGTGGAAGAGGAAGAGAGAGGGGAGAACGTGCCTTCTTCGGTGATTCAGTGATTCTACGATAAGTATGATACTAAAGCAGCAGGAGTCGATAAAGGGTATAGCGCCAGCCAGCGATAAAGTGTAGCATTAACAGTATAGCAAATAAGTTAAGCGATTAAGCAATAGAAAAAGGACACGAAGCTCCTCCAATGTTATTGGAGGTATATAGGGTTACTGACAACAGCACCGCCGCAACCACCACTATACAGTTTATGCTGCCAGCGGCCCTTATAACCCAACACCACCACCACTCGTGACATACGTAATGACATATTTTATTCATTCTAGAGAATACATCATGTTTCTGTTATTAATATTGTTTATTATGTCACATTAGATAAATTTTGATAGATAAATAATCCGCAGAGTTGTTATTAGCATCACATTGAAGGAGTTTCTTGTCCTGTTTTGAAACAAACTCTCCTCCTCCCTGTCTTCCATAAGCCAACAAGAGTCTTCAATAAATGTATGTAACGAATATCAAAATGGCATACAATACCGACAGGTTGGTAGGTAAGACACATAAGCAACAGTTAGGCAACTTTATTCCGAAACATTTCGCCTACACAGTAGGCTTCTTCAGTCGAGTACAGAAAGTAGGCAGGAGCAGTAGAAATGTGAAGACAATGTAATCAGTCCATCACCCTTAAAGTTGTAGATTTGAGGTTGTCAGTCCCTCAGCCTGGAGAAGTTCTGTTCCAAAGTCTGGAACTAACTGAAAATCAAGCGACAGTGTTGAGACTTAAATACTGTCGGAAGGAGAGGTGCAGAGTAGTAGTAGTGAGAATGTAGCCACTGAGAGGTCACATCCCTCTCAGGTCATACAATTCTCACTTGAAAAAGTTGTCCAAGGCGTTTTCTCTTCTGTACCAAGATTCCATTGTGTTGCAGTGTCTGACGGAGTGAATATCAAAATGGTATACAATACAACTTAATTCCAAAACGTTTTGCCTATACAGTAGACTTCTTCAGTCAAGTACAGAAAGTAGGTAGGAGCAGTAGAAATGTGAAGACGATGTAATCAGTCCATCACCCTTTAAAGTTATAGATTTGAGGTTGTCAGTCCCTAAGCCTGGAGAAGTCAAGGCTGAGGGATAAAGTGTAGCATTAACAGTGTAGCAAGCAAGTTAAGCGATTGATCAATAGAAAAAGGACAGCACAAAAGTGACTCCTCCAATGTTGTTGGAGGTATATAGGGCTACTGACTAACACTGCCACCTCTGCTGTCACCATCACCACCATTATGTAAGGCTTATCTTTCAGTGGCCCTTATACACCCAACAACAAACAACACAACACACTCGTTACATACGTATTGACATATTATATTCATTCCAGAATATATATCATGTTTCTATGTTATTAATATTGTTTATTATGTCCTATTAGATGAATTGTGCTAGATAAATAAGCCGTTGAGTTGATATTAGTGTCATATTGAAGGACTATCTTGTCCTGTCTCCTAACACACTTTCCTGCCGATGCCACAATTCCTAACATATGCCAGAAACAGACCTCTCCGAAACACTTTTTTGAGCGACAGGGGTCCAGTGATTCTCAAGCTGGTCCTAGTGGCATTAAAAAACAAAGAAGAGAAGTAACCCCATGGAAGGAGATTCTCCTTCCAAACAGTAATTTCTCCATCCTCTCCCTTTCTCCCATCTTCAATACACTAAGAAGATCTTTATTTTTTGGGTGTCTGGAATGAATTAATAGGATTTACATTATTTCTTATGGGGAAAATGTATTCGGAAATCATTAAATTTGGCTTTAGTCACACTCTCTGGAACAGATTAATTATGATAACTGAGGGTCCACTGCAAAGTGTCTGCACTCTGAAGGAGGAGTGTTATTGTTGCAGTTTTATAAATGTAGTGTAAGCATGCCTCTGGCAAGACAGTGATGGAGTGAATGATGAAAGTTTTTCTTTTTTGGACCACCATGAATTGGTGGGAAGAGGGCAATGTGTTAATAAAATAAATAAAATAAAATAAAAAAAAAACAAAAATTTAATTAGCTCCTCCAGTCTTCAAAAATTACTTTTATTAGTAATAAATATATTTTTGCCAAATAAACATAAAACCCACCTGAGATAATTCTACATTGAATGCCCGTATAGCCAAAGCAGTGGTTCGAGCAGTTTGTGGGAGCAGCAGTACAGAAAGGAAGTTTTCATAATCGTATTGTCTGAAAACAAGAAAAATTATAACTAGAAATCTTTCTATAATGCTTCTAATGTGGCAACATATCAAATACAGCGTCTCCTCACTTAACGACGTAGTACCGTTCTTAAGACCATGTCGGTAAACGAATTCATCGCTAAATGAGGAGCATGGTAGTGGTTTGAGTCAACCATTTTTGATATTGTTTTAATGTCACATTTATAACATTTTCAGTACATCTTTAAATGTTTATACAGTAGTGTACTGTACACAGCCTCTCCTCACTTAGCAACGTACCCATTTACTGACGCCTTGGACTTACAACAGGCTCTCTGACCAGTATGCATGCCTAAATAATGTATATTAGAGCTAATTCCTCTATTCTGTTTATTACAATATACAGTGGACCCCCGGTTATCGGCTGGTTTGGTTATCGCCCAACTTGGTTACCAGTTATCGGCCGTTCGCTCGGTTATCGGCAATTTTGGATGCGTCCATCCGCAGGCTGGGGCAGCTTGCACTTCAGTTTGGCTCTGTCTCTCGGTGGCTGAGGAAGCTTCTGCTCATACATCCAAACATTTCGCTTGTTTACCATTGTTTTTAGTGGCTTTTCTTGCAGCGCAACTGTAAAATAAGTAACCATGGCTCCAAAGAAAGTTCCTAGTAAAGTTCCTGTGGTAAAGAAAGTGAGAAACACCATGGAATTTAAGTGTGAAGTGATAGAAAAGTTTGAGAGTGGTATGAAGGTGGTGGAACTTGCCAGGATGAACAGCAAGAATAAATCAACAATTATATATCCATCCTGGCAAAGAAAGAACAAATCGAAGACGCTAATGTTGCAAAAGGAGTAGCTTTTCTAACTAAACAAAGGACACTGGTAATGGAAGAGATGAAAAAGTTATTATTATTGTGGATTAAGGAAAAAGAATTAGTGGGAGACAGTGTTGTGGAGTCAATCATTTGTGAGAAGGCAAAGCAGTTGCATGAAGATCTTGCAAAGAAAATGCCTGGAACAAGTGCTGCAGTTTGTGAATTTAGGGCCAGCAAAGGATGGTTTGATGGATTTAAGAAGCATAGTGGCACACACAGTGTTGTAAGGCATGGTGAGGCTGCAAGTCCTGACAAATGTGCGGCTGAGAAGTATGTTCACGAATTCCAGGACTATGTAAAGGCTGAAGGATTTGAACCCCAACAAGTGTTCAATCGTGATGAACCAGGCCTGTTTTGGAAGAAAATGCCAAACAGGACCTACATTACCCAGGAGGAAAAGGCACTGCCAGGACACAAGCCTATGAAAGGCAGGCTTACTCTTTTGTGTGGTAATGCTAGTGGGGATTTCAAAGTGAAGCCTTTACTCGTGTATCACTCAGAAAATCCCAGCGTGTTTAAGAAAAACAATGTCATGAAGAATAGACTGTGTGTGATGTGGAAAGCTAATCATAAGGCATGGGTCACAAGGCAAATTTTCAAAGAGTGGGTTAATGATGTGTTTGGCCCAAGTGTGAAAAAGTACCTCCTGGAAAAGAAATTGCCACTCAAGTGCCTCCTGGTACTGGACAATGCTCCTGCACTTGGAAGACCAAGTGTTTAGGGACTTCAGTTTTATAAAAGTGAAGTTCTCGCCTCCTAACACCACTCCTCTACTCCAGCCCATGGACCAGCAGGTCATTTCTAACTTCAAAAAACTACACAAAAGCAGTGTTTCAAAACTGCTTTGAAGTGACCTCAGACACTCAGTTGACCCTAAGAGAGTTCTGGAGGAATCACTTCACTATCCTCCATTACATAAGCCTTATAGATAAGGCTTTGGAGGGAGTGACTTCCAGAACTTTGAACTCTGCTTGGAGAAAACTGTGACCAAATTGTGTCTAAGAGAGGGATTTTGAAGTTTGAGGCTCACCGTGACCCTGACCCTGCCGACCCTGTGGAATCTATTGTGGAACTGGGGAAGTCCCTGGCATTGGAGGTGAGTGGCGAGGATGTTTAAGAGTTGGTGGAGGACCACAGGGAAGAGCTTACCACTGAAGAGCTGCAACAGCTTCAACTGGAACAGCAACAGACTGCAGCTGAGGAACTTGCTTCAGAGGAAGAGGAAGAGGGAGTGAAGGTGGTGCCTTCTTCAGAGATTGAAGAGGTGTGTGCTATGTGGACTAGGGTGCAAGCTTTCGTAGAGAAACACCACCCTGACAAAACTGAAACAAGCCATATCTGCAACATGTTTAGTGACAAAACCCTGTCCCACTTCAGGGAAATCTTAACCCTTTGACTGTTTTGGTCGTATATATATGTCTTACGCGCCACTGTTTCAGACGTATTTATATGCGTAAATTCTAGCGGCTTCAAATCAAGCGGGAGAAAGCTGGTAGGTCTACATGAGATAGAATGGGTCTCAGTGGTGGGTGTGCACCCTGTGAAAAAAAATCTGGGACTCAGTGGTGCATTGTGAGAACGCCATCTTAGTAGTCCATTTTCACCATGCCTCGCGGTAAGAAGTACCTCACTCCTTGCCGTATTGGAAGTCTACTGTTCCCAAGTGATAGCTCTAACTGTGATGGAAGTGCCAGTGGAAGTGAATTTCATGGTTTTGGAGAGGGTGTGACCAAAAGCAGTGCCCAGGATTACATAATTAGTGATAAAAACTCCGATAACCCACAACCGTCCACCTCTGGTGCTGGCATATCTCATTCACGTTCATCTGCACCAGGAAGAAAAAAGAAACTATTTCCCCATTTACAGAACTCAGATCTGAACAGTGAAAGTGATAATGATAGTGATTTCAAAGTTATTGGTAGCAGCTCGAGTAACGACAGTGAGGGGGAATATTCGCCAGTGAAATGGCAGTATGTTCGATGCAGCATGCATTCTGGTAGTGTGCCTTATGCCCTTCCAAGGCAAAGGAGTAAATCTGGGAGTACACCCCGTGGCCCTAAACCACGACCTGACAGTGAAGATGATGATATTGCTACAATGGAGATGTGTAATGTGTGTTGGGAAGGTGATGGTGGTGGTGATGTTGGCGGTGGCATGAGTCATGAGGCACCAGAAGCGGGCCACACTACTACTGACGCTGCTGACTATGCACAACTACAACCAGCCTCACCCAACCCCACATTCCCACAACAACCACAACCACGTTTCAATATCCAGAACCCACCAGCAGACCGCATCTGGGATTGGCAGCAAGGTGACGATTTTATTCCCAATCCCCATACTTTGATGAAACACAAAGTGGAATACGGCCATCGTGTACACTTGGGAACAATGCCACTGAACTAGAATGCTTTCAGTTATTCTTTGATGAACCCCTGATGGACATTATTGTCAGGGAAACCAACACATACTATGAGTACACTATGGCAAATACAATTCTTTCACCAAGATTACGGCTACACCAGTGGAAGGACACAACTGTGGCAAAGATGTACCTGTTCTTTGCTCCAATAATGCTTATGCCACATGTGTATAAGCACACTGTCACCACATACTAATTAACTGAACGCCTGATTTCAACCCCAGGTTTTAGTGACATTATAGGAGTAAATCGTTTTTTGATACTGTTACATATGTTACCCAGAACCCACAGGTTATATAAGATCAAAAATGTGTTTATGTACCTGCAACAGAAGTGTTGCATGTATTTTTATCCCTTCAGGAAGCTTGTTATTGACGAGTCTTTGATTTTATTCAAAGGAAGACTCTCATTCAGGCAGTACATACCAAGCAAGAGGAAACACTTTGGTATAAAGTTATTTGTACTGTGTGATTGCAAAAGTGGTCTCGTTTTGGATATCATTGTGTACACTGGCAGTAATACATTGAGAGATACCAGGAAGTTATTGGGTATCTCTGGTGATGTGGTTCGAACAATGATGGAACCATATCTTGGTAAGGGGCATATATTATATACTGATAACTGGTACACAAGCCCCATACTCAGTGATTTCTTGCGAGTGAACATGACAGACATGTATGGCACAGTGCGTGATAATCGTAAGCATATGCCAAGGTTTGACGCTGGCACTCGCAGACATGAGGTGCAGGCCTCTGCTGTCAATGACATCATGGTATTTCGGTGGCATGACAAACGTGATGTCACATTGTTGACATCAGTTCACCCAAACGAAATGGCACACACTGGCAGGCACAATAGAGAGACCAATGAACCCATTCTAAAACCTGCAGCTGTCATGGACTACAACCTCAATATGTGCTTAGTGGACAAATGTGACATGCAGATTGGGTTTGCTGACTGGGTATACAAGAGTTGTAAGTGGTATAAAAACTTTTTTTCCATCTTCTTGATACTTCCATGCTAAATGCTTATAACACATATAAGTTGAGGACCAACAACAAACCAAAATATGGTGAATTTTGTTTTTTGTCAGTCATCAGACAAATAATCTGGAGTTTACCTGGAGAGAGTTCAGGGGGTCAACGCCCCCACGGCCCGGTCTGTGACCAGGCCTTGTCAAGTACCAAGGAGCAACACCTGCAATAGACCAGCGCCCACGAAATTACCAACACATGCCATCTCGTTTGAGGCCTGGCGATCACTATCCCGATACAACTGCCTCCTACTGCTTTCAAGAAAAGTGCTCAGAAGAGGTGTTTTGTATGTGGACATACCACAAAACGCCCACAAACATGCAGAGACACTCATTTTACATGTGAGGAGTGTCAAGTACCACTCTGCATATACCCATGTTTCCAAGAGTTCCACAAGCTGCAGCAGTTCTAGGAAAGTGTTCAGTGACTGTACATATGTATATATATTATGGAACAATAGTAATAAACAATGTTTTGTATTGTTTGTGTAAACATGTTTTATACACAATCTAAAGTGGTAATGTTTGTTCAGTTATTGTGTTGTAAACAATGAGTGTATATTTGAACAATGCACCTTACTTTGGTCTCACAGGCCACATAAGTTACTTAGAAAAGAAAAATATTGGAAAATACAAGAAACCTTCGAATTGGAGTAAATAAAAGAATACCAGGTGAGCGGCATTCGCCGCTGTTGCCATA